TATCGCAAATATCTACACTAAAGAACAAACATATTGTTACGAAATGTACAGACGCGGTAAGATGGTTTCCCCGCAAAGCAGTTTTAGGGTTGCCATAAAATAAAATAGCAAGGAAGGCAGCATTGTCACATTTAGCGAGAAATCGCCCATTTGGCGATATTTCGCGACAAAATTGGTGATATATTATGGACGGATGGAGAACCTTCTGGACGAATTCTTACCGGTTTAGCCCAGAATGTTCTCGAACACAAGCCGAAAGCTATATAAACCCTGCTGGTCCGCAGTCAGTTCGTGTGTGTCTCTCATCGAGTGTGTGTGCCTCGCCTAGCGAGCTGATAGAGTGTGCCTCGTCGAATGCGAGATAGTTAATATCGAGTTGGTGTCTCGTCTAGCGAGTCAATCTCTGCGGAGTCGATCCGAGTTGACAGCCGGGCAGCGAGTGCCGAGTGGGTCTTCGAGTTCACCGAAGGAGTTTGTTAGTGTATCGCGGTTAGTGCATCGTCGAGAGAGTGTGTGTTGAGCTCCGGGAACGACTGAACAGAAGAGTCGGAAGCCGTGCCCTGTGTGTCGTCGAGTGCATCGCGAATTGTAGCGTGGAGAGTCTCGAGAGTACGTGGAGTTCCGAGACGACCGAGCAGAGTCGGGAGCTGTACTCTGGTGCTTTGCAGTGAAGGTGTTTCCACCGTGATAGCCTGATAACCTAGAGGCTGTGTCGCTGATCGTGTCAGCGTCTTTATAGTAGTTCATCGACGACTGTAAAAACGTGTTTTGGAGCTGCCTTGACAATACTAGCCAATAAAGTGTGTTTCGATACTTCATCAAGTGTCGTCGTTATTCACTCTAAATCCACACGAACCCCGTACGAACGTGAAGGAAGAAAATAACGTAACAACTGGTGTCAGAAAAGAAAAACGCAACAATATAAATAGCCTCTGAAGCCTTATTTAATTTGAGGTCAAAATCCCCACCTACTCATGCGGCTGTCATTTTCATGTCAAATGTTCTTACTGCCAACTGTCTGACACTGTTTGACAAACTGTTTATTAAAAGTAATTGACTGCCTAATAAGCTGGTGAAAAATAATAACAGAAGTAATTCACGATACACAAGTAGCAATCTTCTCCTCAAATAAGAATTTGTTTTTAAATATTTTCTGGTTTTATTTTTCATACGTACTGTGTTAACAGATGAATATTTTATTGTTTGATGTGCAATGCGGAATTTATCTTGTTATTATTACTATGATTTATTAATTCTTTTTATGTATGCAGCTGTTATGTGCATAATAAAGAGTGTTTAAGAAAGATTCACTGGAAAATTTGCTGTACACATTAATTAAACTCTGTTCCGTTACCACTATAAATATAAGAAAAAGTAAAGTTTGAGCATATTTAATAGTGAATTCATATTTGATATAATTAAATATATTTTGAATGAATCTTCTTTCAGCAATTATATAATGAGACAAATTTTATACTGAATAGCTGTTGAATCATTGGTGAGCGATCTACAGCTTCAGTTAAATTAATTAATTACTTTGACTAAGAAATTAATCAAAGGAAACTTTAAAATTGCTACTTTTTTTTTTTTTTTTTTTTTGTACGATTTCATATCAGATGATACATTTCAGTAAAACAATTCCGAATCTAGAATTTTTATACTTATCAAATAGGAAGAGAAAGTAACATAAAATTTTAAAATTGATTTTTCTCCTTTAAATGCCCCATTCAATGATATTGTTTTATGATTTACTAGTGTCTTTATTTACAATTTTGTTACATTTGGTAAGTCGAAAGAAATTTCGCACAAGTAATTTATAAGCTTTCAAACTCTAAAAGTACATTAAGGATATTTTTATTGAAGTTTTGTGGCTTAAGAATCATAACCTGGTAATGAAGCATTCACTACAAATACAAGTACAAATATTTTTCATTCTTAACTAATGCAAATAATATTATGAGTTGACTGGATGCCAGTAGTGAGGCCTGATAGCATTGTTACTTCCTTGTACGAAGTAAAAAAGGAAGTATTGTAAACTCGAAAATTTTCGGATATCATACTTCAGCGAAAATATCCATTTTCACCGCTATCGGATGCAATTTAATGTTTTTGCGTGACATCTGTACGTAAAGACAGAATAAAAAATTCTTTTTTCCCCCGAAGCATTGTAAAACTGATTTAAAATTAATTCTGAAATGAATCTTATGTATGTATGTACAACTGAAAAAACGAGTAGCCTCAGAACATTCAAATTTTATACACAGAACTGCTATAACATGTAGATATGCACCTCGTATTTTAGTTGCAATCGGCCGCACCAAAACTATATAAATATCTACTCTGTTCAGTGAGCTCAGTTTCTTTATTCTTATGTTTGTAATTTGTGCATTTTTTTGCTTTAAAAATGATTAAATTATGTTGTTCTTATCTTCCGGTTAATATTTTTATGCCTTTAGTTAAGATGCATACAATAATTGTGGAATTATCCATAATTTAAAAGGTTTTTAAGTGCGGCTAAGCCTAATTTTTGATTGCCATGGCAGCCATGTTTGTTTACATTTGAAACTTAGCAGAATAGTGGATTTGCTGCTAGTCTAGAGAAAATAAGCTTCGCAACAACAAAGTAACGTCTTCTTTTATTATTGCGAATTAAATTTTACTTAATTCATTCTGGGATTAACATTTAAGTTATTAGCTTGTTTTGGCTTAGAAGCTGTAATTTTAATTATAAAAATTGTTTTTTTTTTAATTGCTTTAACTTTATTTGGTGCTTTATGTTTTTCTGTAACTTTCAAATTTTAATGAAAATATATTGAATCTTTATATATTTTTGCCTTGCCGCGAAATGAGAACTGAGTTAATTAGTAGCGCATGCGCATTAGGTAAGCGGCGCTGATTCGTCTGCGAAAAAATGTTTCATTTTTATTTGTTTAATTTTTTTATACGTCGTTTTAGATTTAGTGTTTGAATAGAACTTGTGGTAATTCTTCAGATGATGTAATTTTTGTGCACTCTGAGGTATAAAATGAATGTTAATGCTGTTAAGTTGAACCTAGAGCCGAAGTGTCGCTATGTAAATAAATATAGTGAACTTTAAAGACTGCATTTATTCATTGTGGTTTATGCGCTATCGACGAAGTAGATTTAATTCAAAATTCGTTAACTGTTAATTCAATATGTTTAAATGAAATGCAAGAAAATTGCGTATAATTTAATATTCCATACGAGGAAGTCAGGTGATGTACACATCAGATTTTTTAGAACTAGAATTCTGGGAGAAAGATTGACGAAAATTGTGTTTTTTTTTTATTTTTATTTTTTGCAATGAGTACAAAGCTTTAAGTGCAAGTTTAGGGACCGAAGGAACGTATAGAAGTTAGATTTCGTAATCTTTACGAAACTGATTTCTTTAATTTAAAAATGCCAGAGCATGATTCTTTGCGTCATTTAAAACACTTTTGTTACTGGAAATATATGTCTGCGACCAAACGTTGTGTGTATATGTGGGGGAGAGGATTGTAACATAAAACACGTTTAAATACAAATCTGCATCATTTCAAAATTAACACCACCGTATGACATTTACTACCGCAAAAGTGTTACTACATCACCCTTGATGATGTAGAGGGTTTTGCGTACTGAAACTCAACCAGATAATAATAATGTTAGAGTTATTAATCAACCAATCGAATGATATCAAAATCGAAGCTAACTCAGACTGAAGTGAGATTCCATCTGGAATACATCACACTTGCTTTCCGCTTCTATTGATAATTAGACGCTGCCTCGCTGTTCTTTTCTTACCGTAACGGTAGCAGAAATGTACAAAGTTCTGCAACAGGTGTGTTTATTACGTTGTTTGTGGCTGAAGATGCCAACTACAGTAAAGAGGATAGTTCAAATCTGCCACATCTGCTCGTTACCTGTATTTCTTTTTATTTGCTTAAACATCAAATCCAACTTGCCTAATTCATTACATACACAAGCAACACACATATACGTATACACTCGGGTACAGAATTAAGATAATTAAAATATTGTACTATTTTTACAAAAAATATTGAATAGGCTCAAATCACTGAAGAATTATGCAGATATTCAGAGTCAAATACGTAAACGAAACACGTGCGTATCTGTGGAGTTGTAAATGTGAAGGAGATATAATCGCTGGGGGGGGGAGTCGGTGAAATGTGTGTTTCTATTTCTTTATGACCTTTATGACATTTGCCTTGTTTCTTGCAAAAGTTCGTTAAATTTTATACGGTTTTGGATAAAATAAGTAACCACGAATGTATGAATGACGGAATGAGATGGAGAATTGATAGTAGATTGGAAGCAGACAATCACGAGCACATATTGCTGCAGAATTCAGTGTAACACTGAATTGTGTGCCTGTAATTTGTGGAAACAGTTTCAGGACACTTCATTCATATCAAGAAGATCTGGACCCAAGTCGATCAAGACCCACATGGATGAATGAGGATCATTACGTTTGCTGTATGCTGTCAATGGAACCCGAGTTTACGATCTATAATAACCCGAAGGTTTTCATCTTCTCATCTTTGGCTTTAAAATCGCCTTCTAGTGGCTTTGCTATAATATATATGTATACGTAATTTTTCAACTTCTTCATTATATGATTTTATCCTTAGGATGCGTTAGGAGTTTCGAAATAGAATTTCTGGAAATATGAACTATATACTTTTGTTAGAAATCGAACCCAAATCTTTATCTTAACGAATTGAGACTGATTAGGAATCTGTAGTTATCTTCTTAATATTGCATTCATTACATGGATATGAGGGGTATCCTTAGAGCTAACAGGACAAATCCACTGACTTCTATAACGAACACTTTAATACACACTTCCTATAAGAATGACAAATATTTGAGAAGAAATACTTTATCAAAAGAACTCTTTTGCTTATTTCTTTTAAATTTGAAACATACTGTATATTTTTCAAATTATTTTTATTTTTTCTTATGTTCTTAAATTGTAGGGGGATGTTGGAGACCCTGGGTTTCCCGGTTTTGACGGAAACCGTGGACTTACAGGACCCCCAGGATCCAAAGGAGACAAAGGAGATTTTGATTATGGAATAATTGGCAGAAAAGGCGAGAAAGGATTCTCTGGCCGGCCGGGTTATTCTGGACTTAAAGGAAGAAAAGGTTTTGCTATCTGCATGGCGCTTCTTTTTATTTTAAACTTAATAAATTATGTCATATGCTACACATCTCCAACATTTTGCAGCCTGCTATGATTTCGTAAAGTTCTCCTAAAATAACTGGATCAGATGAACAATGAAAACTTGAAATTTTTTTTTAATTTGACATTAATTAGCAGTTTTTACGCAGATGATAAATAGCTATAAATAGCTGATGGAATATTCGAAGAATGTTTCAGAATGCCAAAATTGCTCACAACGTGAAACATTAATGGTTGAACAAGAAGCTAGAAAAGGGAGTTATCTTTAACAAACGAAGTCTCAACTCAACTGGCCAACGGCTCCTCAGAACTTCCAATTTATACCATTTCTTAAGGGAAACAGGCTAAAACTTCTGTAACTTTCCGAAAAATTCGTTCTTAGGGGTACCAGAAATGTCCTTAATATCGACAAGCAAAATTCGCGGAAATAAGCCAAACGAATGATAAAAATTGTTACCAAGTTCCAGTTAGCAGTTTCTGTCTGTATTTGCTGGTCTGCTGGTCTCTACAATTTCAATGTCAGTCGACCAGAATTAGACATTTTAGAAAATAGTGCATGAAACAAAATATAGATGAGCATGAAACTAAATTGGCCACAATTAAAAAATTAATTAAAATACGCAACAAGTAAACATTGAATTGCCATATAAAATGCACGAAATAACTAAATAAAAACAAAGGTATAACAATTAAAAAAAATTAAATAAAAGTCAAATTAGAAATTAGTATTTTGATAAATTTTAACGCCACATTGGGCAATACATCTTGTAAGAAATTCACAGCACCAAAATTTGGTAATTGGACTAAGATTAGATAAAGGTAAGGAATTAAATTATCAACCACTCTTAAGATTTCTCTCTCTAACTAATTAGAGTAATAACTACTGAAACAGAAGACGATTTAAGCAATTTCTTTATTTAAAACTTTAAACTGAATAAATTCATGATTTATGCTTACAATTTAAGTCTTCGTAGCTTGCGGAATATCAGTTAACAGATGGTGAATTTAAAGTACTGCAAACAGCCTAAAAGCGCAAGCAATTTAACAATTAAACATTACATTTAATATGCCATCTGTTCTTTGTATCTACATTTGTAGTGTTGTTTTCTAGTGTCCAGTCACCCTGTAAGGCTACTGGTGATCATATTCGACAATAGGGTTCAAAATCATCCATTGACTATCAAATGTCGTTTGATTTCTATTCTATGTCTTATGCAAATGATTTATTCTTTAACTAATTTTTCTGATTTTTATGAACACGCTACATTATCTGAATAGATGTGTAATTTAAATTCAGGTGCTTAAAAATATATATGTAACTTCCGTGATCTTTTATGTAAAGTAAGAATATTAAAGTGTATTATATTCTAATGTGTTCCTGTAGGAGATAAAGGAGATTCTTTTGATGCAAGAAATATCACCGGGATAGAAAAATATGTTGGCGATCCTGGAGAAAGAGGTGCTCCCGGCCCTGCAGGAAGACCAGGGAGAGAAGGTGAATAATGTTTTAAGAATATTATATTTCACAAACTAGATAATAAAAGATTTAGTAATATCTCATATATTCAGATTGTTTTTTGTTTTGGGGAGGAATTACTCTCTGAGTTACTCATTAGCGTTCCGTCTGAAGAACGTATAGATAAAGCCAAAATTCCCAGCAATATATTGCAACAAATACCTTCAGAAAGTTTCTGCAATATATTTTATTAGATAATCCTATCACCAGATTTTTCTCTCTGAATAAAAACAGAGTATCTGATAATATATCACATCAAATATCTGAAGAACGTGTTAACTAGATATTGGCATGTTTTGGGGGATAGTTTAGTCTTTATTGGATCATATCTAAAAATAAAAAGCTGACAACGGTCCTTTCGCCATTATTTCTAGAAGTTTTGTATAATGTATCATTCAATGTCAAACTGATGATTTAAATTTTAAAAAGTAGCTAAATATACCTATTGAAAATTCATTTTTAGAACCATAAAGAGTTAGCGAATCGTTTTCATTTGAGCACAGTAAAGGTTTTGGGCTTCAGATGGTTACTATGTCTCAGTTACTCTTAGGAGCCAAATTTGGTAATATCCGTGATTTAAAAGGGAATTACAATTTCTTAATTTGTTATTTCAGTGCGATAAAGGTATTTGCCTCTAGATAAGATAAGTATTTGCCTTTAATACAGATGCTTTAAGAATATTGTTTGTTTCAGGCCCAGAAGGAATTGATGGCACTCCTGGTTATCCAGGAAGGAAAGGTGAAAAGGGAGAGTCTGGTTTCCCAGGATCGAGCTTTAGAGGAGAACGTGGTTTGAAAGGTTATCCAGGTTTACCAGGAGATGCCGGATTCAATGGTTCTCCAGGACCTAAAGGACCCCGTGGACCACTTGGACAACCCGGATTCCCTGGCTCAAAAGTATATGCGATATAGAATTTTTCAGACCAAAGCTTTTAATATATGTTCAAAAGAGAATTCTCCAGTTTTATACTTTAGTAAAAGGGAGCAATGCAAGTATAAAATGTATGCATAGCATTGTACCCGAATATACTAAGTTTCATTCAAATATTCTGTTTTTGAGTGAGTTTACAAACTTTATGATTTTTCATGATTATCTGGTGTGAGAAATATCTCTTAACCCTTTGCGGCACAGTGTGTCCGGTCTAGACACACCTAAAAATTTCCTTCTGTGCGCACAGAAAAATTGAATGAAAAAGGATTTATAGGTTACTATAGGTTACTATGAACCTTCTTTATTTATAGTAGATAGCAGCTCAACACAAACCAATCCATATATTTTAGCATGTTTAGTTTTTTAAGACCCTCATTTTTCAAAGAAATCTTCCAGATGTTTTTAGGGTGTAAAAGGAATTGTTTGAAAAGAAATTTCTATGTTATTTTTTTTGGCTGTATGCTAATCTCCTTATTCTATATTCGTTTTAAATTTTTACCTTGAAATCTTGCCTAAAATCAAACGGCGAACCCTAGCTGTGCCCAGACCGGGCTCACCGATAATCTAGGACAACTGAGTGTCTGTATTGTTTGTTTCTCCGCAACTCATCGGTCAGTTCTTTGACAACAATGCTCGTTTCAGCACTCTTTTTCGAAGCTCTATTCAATCAGTGTGCCCACTTTGGGCTCACCCACAGAATTAAAACGATAAGTGCTATCTTCACAAAATTTTACTTGTGTACTCCTCTAGGTCTAATTAGACTGCCTACCTTTTTTTTAATCAAAAATCCGACTTTATAATGTAGCGTTCCGGAAAGAGTTAAGACCGTAGTCAAATTCAGTTCTGACAAGAATCTCCTCAAATCCTAATATTCGTCTACTTATTATGAGAAGTTGGCCCCTTACTAGAACAATAAACAGCGTACTTAAACTTCAGAAACAGAGTTTCGTATTTATTCCCTATATTAAGTGCATGTTTTACAATATCGTTTTAATCGACAATATTCCTAACTCTTGGTCAGGATACATTCTTTTTCAAACAAAAAGGGGAAAATGCGAAAAATGCAGCTAATCCGATTGCAGTCAAATTCTAGTTAAGAGGACTTTCCTCAAATCCTAATCTTTAGTAAAACATTATGTGAAGCTGGCTACCGGCTATGATAGCACGACACCAGAGCTATTCTTGTGAGTAAATCAAGATGTCCTGGGTTCGGATCCCAGTCGCACTATTACCTTTTGCTCAATGCTTTTGCCGAAGCAGAGAAATAGAGAAAAGACATTATGTTATATTATTTAATTATGAGAATATTTGTGTTGTATAATATTACAATCATGACAGATGCATATTTTTCTTTATTGTGCAATTAAAAATCAGTATTTTGTATCTTTCCATTAAAAATTTCTAGGTTACGTTGTTGCATTTAATTAAGAGTGCTCCGATTGCACCACGCTTCGTATTAGGAAAACGTTTTAGTCTACGAAGATTCCTTGGTAGGAAAACATTTAAGCTGAACAAAGTTGACATCTTAATAACCAGAGCATTCTTTTAGAGCAGTAGTTCTTAACCGGGGGTGCCCACCCCTGGGGTGCGGTAATGTATTTTGGGGGGGCGGGAGAAGCCCCTACCTAACCATAAAAATTGTTAAATATCATTCATTAAATTTCTTATAATAAAAGATTTGAAATCTGCAGTAGTGTCCCCAATACTGAAGCTCATAAAAATTGGTAGCACCTAGCTCACTTATCGGCAAAAGAAAAAGGAAAGAGCCGGTGCCGATGGGCGTATACAATACGCTACGAAAAGGCATGGAACGCTACAAATGAACGTGAACAGGCAGCTAGGTGACGGCGAAAAGAAAAAAAATCTTTGTGGGAATACAAGCGTGACCTTCGAGAAACCTCGATGGCCACGAAGCGACGATACAAACGGAGAACGTTATCCCAGCTTGCGCATGCGCTGAGTTCAACATGTGCTACTCCAATGAAATCTACGGATTCACAGATTTGTATCTGCATCTACTGCGCCTGTGTTAGGTAGAGTCAACTATTGTGTCTGCGCCATGTGTATTATGTATTCTGACTTGTCCAGAAACCTCATGAGACTAATAGATTCTTAATTACCCGTTCAAGCCGAATAGAATTCAGTGATATTACAAATGTAAGAACATTATATATATTATATTACATTATTTCTAAATAATTAAATCGATTATAGTGAAGCCCACTATTTCAAAAAAAAAATGTGGATATAAGTATGGAACGATAAGTATGCAGTTTATGGATTTACCTGCACAACCGAAAAAGATGGCATGCAAGGACCGCAATTCATCTTGTGTTCCAAAATATTTTCAAACAGCAATCTCAAACCATCAAGGTAATTAGAGCATTTCAACAATGTGCATGGTGCCGAAAAAGCGCATAGCATGAACAGCTTGAAGTCAAAGAAGGCTCGGTTTGATACTAGTGGAACTATTCTAAATTTGTGCGGACCAGCAATTCAAAAACCTTTATTAGAAGCGTCATATCAAGTGGCATATTTATGTGAAAAAAAAATCTGATGTGTACACCACATGACTTCCTTGTACGGAATATTAAATCATACGCATTTTTCTTGCATTTTATTTAAACTTATTAGATTGAATTAAACCTACTTCGCCGACAGCGCATAAACTACAATAGAATCAATGCATTCCTTAAAATTCACTTTGTTTACCATAGCGACACTCTGGCGCTAGGTTTACTTAACAGTATTATATTTCATTCATATTACAACTCAGAATGCACAAAATGTATATCATTTAAAGAATTATCTAATCGTAATGCCACATGTTTCTATTCAAATACTATAATAAAGCTAGAACTATGTATAAAGAAATTAAGCAAACAAAACAAAAAAAGAAACAGTTTTTCACAGACGATTGAGTATTTCTCATTTAATTAATTCAGTTCTTACTTCGCGAGAAGGCAAAAATACATAAAAACTCAAAATATCTATATTAAAAATTACGAAGTAAATCTTAAACACTTTATTTACTCGAAAAATTTCCAGAAAGGATTAAGCATGATTTAATTGGCAGTAATAAATGAAGGCGTTATCTTTGTTGTTGCGAAGCTACATTTCTCTATATTGGCAACAAATCCACTATCCTGCTGTTTCAAATGTAAACAAGCAATGGCCGCCATCAAAAAAATTATTAGGCTTAGCGGCACTTAAACAACTTTAAAATTGCTGATAATTCTAAAAATATTGCATACAGATTTACTAAAGGCATAAAAACCTTAACCGGAAGATAAAAACAATATAATTCAATCATTTTTAAAGAAAAAATGTACAATTTACAAACATATAAGAGTAAAGAAACTGAGATCACTGAGCCGGGTAATAGAGTGGATATATATATAAATATATTTATATACGTTTGGTGCGGCCGATTGCAACCAAAATACGAGGTGCACATCTACATGTTATAGCAGTCCTATATACAAAATTTCAACGTTCTGAGGCTACTCGTTTTTGAGTTATGCGAGATGCGTACGTACGCACGTACGTACATACGTTCGTACAGACGCCACGAAAAATTCTCTTCAGAATTAATTTTAAAGCAGTTTTATAATTTTTTTTGAAGGAAAAAGAGTATTTATTCTGTCCTTACGTACAGATATGACGCAAAAACATCATCGTTAAATTTCATTCGATAGCGGTCAAAATGGATATTTTCGTTGAAATATGCTGCCTGAAACTTTTCGCGATTACAATACTTCCTTTTTACTTCGTACAAGGAAGTAAAAAGAAACCTCACACGATCGCTGAAGAGTTGATTAAACCTTCTGCTTTAATTATTGCTAAAATAGTTTTAGATTCGGAAGCACATAAAAAAATCCAACAGATTCCATTATCGAATGATTATACGATCGCGAATACAAGATCTCAGTGAAGATATTTTAATGCAAGTAATTAAAGACATAAATAAAAATCAGTCCACTAAAAATAAGCATGCAACTGGATGAGTCAACTGATGTTGATAATTTTAGCCAACGTTTGGTATTTGTCAGGTATGTGAAGGAAAAAAAAGTGATAGAAGAATTTCTATTTTGTGAGCCACTGGAGGTGAATACGAGAGGAATTGATATTTTCAATCGCATCAAAGATTTTTTTACTAAATATCAATTACCAATGAATGTGATTGGCTCAATATGCACTGATGGAGCCCCAGCAATGTTAGGCAAAAATTCAGGATTTTTTCACACATGAAAAGAGAATTACCGGAAGTTATAATAACGCATTGCATGTTGCATCGTCATGCACTTGCGTCGAAAGCATTGCCAGAAAGTTTAAAACAACATCTAACTACAGCAGTAAATGTAGTAAAATAGATCCGACGGCGAGCGCTTAATCATCGCATTTTTCGTGCATTTGGCGAAGAAATCGGTGCTGATCATACCGTGCTTCTATATCACACCGAAATACGATGGTTATCTAAGGGTCTCATGCTTAACAGAGTTTTTGAATTGCGTGAGGAAATTATTCAATTACTGACTAGTCAAAATTGTTATTTAGTAAAAGATTTTGAGAGTAATGATGCAATGCTGAGGCTGGCCTGCGTAACAGACATATTTAGCCATTTAAATGAATTGAATCTATCAATGCAAGGATTTGGTATAAATATAATAATATCTAGTGAAAAATTATCTTCATTTATCATTTATCGCAAAATTAGAAATTTGGATACGTCGAGTAGAAAAGGGGAATTTTGCAAACTTTCCCTTGCTTGATTCTGTTATTGTGAAAAATGAAAAGAATACAATTATACCATTACCCGACATTGTAATACATTTGAGACGATTGAGTGAATCATTCAATGGATATTTTTCTACCGGAAATATTACCAAAACTCAGAGATGGATACTGGATCCATTTCTATTTGACTTAAATTTGATGGATGATAGTGATCTGAAAAAAGATCAACTTATTGAAATGCAAGCAAGTGGACATGTTCAAATGGAATTCGAACAATTAGAATTGCAACAATTCTGGTGTTCACAGTTACAACGTTATCCAGAGTTGGCGAACGGAGCACTGCAGTTACTCTTACCCTTTGCTACCACCTACTTGTGCGAAATGGGATTTTCATCGCTTTTGCATATAAAATCTAAAGCGAGAAATCGCTTAAATGCAAGTGATGACTTACGCGTATGTCTTTCAAAAAAGGAACCTCGCTTCGCCAGTATAATAATGAACAAACAACAACAGACTAGTCATTAATAAAAATAATATTGTTTTGTATTTATATAAATGTACAATGTTTTTCAATAAACAATAAGTTTCGCAAAAAATGTATTTTTCTAGACTAAAAAAATTAAAACACATTTTTCAATGGGGTGCGGGAGATATATTTTCAGATTCAATGGGGTGCGACTCGCTAGAAAGGTTAAGAAACACTGTTTTAGAGCATAATTTCTCATCTCTGTCTTCAACTCGCGACCCCTTTTTCGAAGTTAGTTTTAATGGTATCCTCTTGGAGTTCGTTAAACATTTCTTACTCTTGCAATAATAATGTACTTGGTGTCCTGCAAATTTGAGATGCAAGCACTGATTGATAAGCATTGAAATTGTTGAAAGTGTGTTGCACTAATGCTGCATCGAATAGTTAACTAAAACTTATATTTGGAATTTGGAAAGACTAATAATAATGAAATTCTTCTAACTACATTTACAATAATGAACCTGACAAAGTACGCACAGATCCATGGCAAGATACATTGATATCTGTACAAGGAATTATTAGAACGTTCCCCCACTAGCTCTGTTAATAAAAATGTACAATGCGATTCTCGCTGAATCTCACCGTAATGATCTTGGATGTGAAGGGCAGATTACTTGCGGCATGCTTACGATCTTGACACAATGCGGTAAGATGTATCGTCTGCTCAGGGATCAAAAGTCAGAAGACAAAAAACATACGTTCAGATCGATGTTACGATTGTCGCACTGACACACCCAACAATGCTTCATTATCACTAATCTTCCTCCCATCATTCTCATGCGCAGGTTCCAGAATTCTTTTTACGTGTTTGGAGGAGTGATACATTTAGAAAGCCTCCCAGATCATTTGTCATCTTCAAGACACATTTTCAGCAACACATTTGAAATATTTAGGTTACTTGAACATTACCTACGACTGATTGCCTTATTGTTTTAAGTTCACCAAAGCATATCCAATTTCTGTACAGCCGATTTGCCTAGTCTAACGCTAAGTTTCACGTAGGCTCGCTATTCCACTTTTCTGTCCACGATGAAATCACAGACTACCACCTCAAAAAACACTGTAACAAATCTTACCATTCACACAGCAATGTCTTTGGCACATTGTTTATTAAGATTGGAGGTCACTACAGCTGCAAGCGCAACTTAGCGTTGTCCTTTACTGGAGCGTTGCAGACCCAGTCCCGAAATTTTTTTATACAAATGTGTATATGGAAGAAGTATGCTAGTTGCGCTTTCTGGATGTCATTACCACTATGCGTTTGTGGCATGTTTATAAAATTTTAAACATGTAGTTTGTAACTTGCATATTTCAGATATTGAAATTATTATATCTTCTTCCTTAGGTTCCAAAGCAAGCTACTCTTCTGTAAATTAAGATTACATTTATTTTTCTACAATGTTTCCATATCAGCATTAAGGCGTTCATAATTCTCTTTTTTTGGGGGGGGGACTCCATTAAATGCATTTAAAAAAAGTGCTAGTGCCGATATTAAAGGGAGAAATATTCAATTCTATAATGTCAGGTAACTCTATACTTCTTGTCCTGCGACTCGACTTAATACAACAGTTGCATTTTATAGAGATGTAATCTTAGTTTCTGTCACGTAGCATACAGAGCTCAGATTTAGAAAACTATAATTATTGATCATGATACGAAATTGTCTTTTGAGGAATATGAAAAATTCGAATTGGCAAATGTTTGTCGTCCATAGGCGTCTTGTGTGCTCACTTTCTTTTTTTCTTTTTAGCCCAAACGGGCATTTTGCCTAGAAGGACTATTAATTTCTTTTTGGCATTTTACGTTGAAACTTTTAAAGGCTGTGTCTCTTTTCAAATCGTTGCCATCGAATATTATCGCCCTGCATTATATTTGAAGGAATTAAGTAATGAAGAATCTGCATAAATGTATGTATGTTTCTCGCATTGTGATAAAACAACGGTACCTAAAGTCATCAAATTTTAAAAGACCTAATCCTGCTGCGAATATGGGCATCTGGAAGCCCAAATTTGAAATTTGGAATTTGTTTTATTACCGAGTTCATATTTTGTAAAACTTTAACAAATTTTGTATTAACAAACTCAAGCATTTCAAAGCGAGCAATGGCAACGTTGTACAGAAAAAACATTTTTATCTCCAGCGCGTGAGACTGTGTATCGGAAATTCTAAATATAGGCTCAATTTAAAATTATTTTGCGATATTGCTGTTGAACTGTAAGTGCGAAGAACATGATATTTAATAAATAAAGGTAACTCAGAAAATATTTAAAAAAGTCCCTTTGGACGTAATTTAAAATCTGAAACCTTTCAGAACCTTTTTTTTTTTTTTTTCGATTTTTTTTTTTGGGGGGGGAAAGGGAATGACTGAATTAAATAGAAGCAATTGCAATCCAATTTATGTAAGACCAACATTACAGATACTTAATGAAATTCTACTTTTATTCTAGAAGGCCCAGTACTATGATGACAACTCATTTTTTCCAGGCCGCAGATTTCTAAACGTTTTAAAAGTGTGGAGTTCCCCATGTGTCCCCATGTGTCTTCACGTCTAGGGTGGAAAACATTACGCTCGTTTGTGTTCATTTTCGTGTTAAGCTAAAATGTAAATTAGAGTTTTGCTAATTTAAATAATATTTTGTTTTCATGCAGTTATTTCCTGATTTATTATTACAAAATTCTCTATTTTATTATGATACGTAAATTACCACAAAGAGCAATTTTATCAGTAATATTATTTAGGATTGTTTTATTCCTCATGTATATTTCTTCCATGAGTAGGTAGTTTTGGCGTTTGATACGTTAAATTTCGCAATTAATTTTTTAATGCAAAAATGTCGATCTCGACAACAAACCGGTCGGCCACATGATATAATATACACATTTAAAATCCTAACATTATTTCAACGTATATTACGTTTAAATAATATATACACCATACATATTAACTACACATATTATTCATTAAAAACAATCTAATGCTGCTCCTTTTCTCAGGGCAATATTGGGGAACCTGGTCCTGATGGATTTGAAGGACCACCTGGATTCCCAGGAGTACCTGGAGCAAAAGGTGAAAGAGGAAATTTAGGATTTCCTGGATTGGAAGGACGTACAGGAGAGCCAGGATCATTCGGAGAGAAAGGCTTAAAAGGTAAGCAATTCGTACAATAGGACAAGATCTTCAAAAGAATGACTTTAAGCATTAAACTTTGCAAAATCTTGTACGTTCAGCTAACAAATAAGTCTGCAGTTGAGTTTGCATGTATTTTATCGTTAAATTTCTCTTGAGACATTTGTAATTTTTCATCAGTTACTTTGCATTTAGGCTAGCTTCTAAATATAAAATTATTTTAGTTTTAATCAAATGCTTTGATATTTTTTTATTTATCTGAGTTTATAGATTAATATGATTGTAAGATCCAATTCGTTTATTCTCAAGTGCGATTTTCTGCGATTCGTTTATTCTCAAGGGCGATAGTGACAGCAATTTTCTGATACTAACTATTTTACTTTTAAATTTAAATATACAATAAAGTCTATCATGACGACTACTTCATAAAGACAACCATCTCTAAAGTGACTAGCATATTCAAGAATATAAGAAAACACCAAATACTTCTCTAAAAATAAATACCACACTTATTATTCATAGAGGGCTTTTCTCCTTGAAAATAATAATATCCTCGATTTCTGTCCTGCAGTATTGCTGCAGTTTTTATGCTGAAATATATAAAGGAGAAACTTCTAATTATATATATATATATATATGTAATAAATTCAGGAGCAGGAATTTGGATGGCGTATAAGTGTTGATCCATAATGACTAGGAAATTGGAGGCGAAGGCAGATTAAATCTTCAGTTTTATTTTCAGCAACATGTAGTGGCTACACACAAGTCGGCACATTATATGTGCCTGTTCTAAAAGGCTTACATTTTTGATAACTTTGTAGCAGCAGCATACAGCCAGCACTCTCGCCAGGCCAAAGCGTGGAAAGCAAGTGCGTTAGTTTCAAGGTGAAATCTTATTCAGACTGAGTTAGTTTTGGTTCTCAAAACATTTTGATTGGATAGTTAATATTGGTGTAAAATTACTATTGGCTGCTTGAGTTTTAGTTCAATTTACATCACTAGAATTACGTAAGAATCATATGACATAGATTTTTCTCGAAATGACGCAGTGCAAATAGATGTTGCTATTTTTAGAATTTTACGCTGCTAATTTAATCTTTTACATATTCTTTATTTTTTTTACATATATATATGAAATCTGCCCTTCAAAATATACTTTCCTTGGACGCTTGTTTTATGTTTCCCGTGTACACGTATAACAATAAAATACTTATAAACGGGAAAATAAATTAAGCGTTCATGGAAGTTTTAATTGATTCTTTGTGTTATTAAATGTCCTAAATGGATCAAGAAATATAACAGAGTCTAACATATCTGTGCTAAGCTCACTTAAAAAACACTAAAACAGAGCCTTAGCCGTATTATATCTAAAAGGTCCTGATTCTTAATTTCACTAAATGCAGTAATCACTAAATACGACACCTCCATATTGAAGAAATACATTCTTTTATCGGCACAAATCTATATTATCAGTAATTCTGCCGTAGCCATCTTTAGCTTGTCATATGCCTCAAAACGAAATACCCTACCAAAGTTCACCACGGATTCCGTACATACAGTACATTCTGACATTGGACCTGACGAAACATTTTTTTGTTGTTTTTTCCTTTTATTGTCGCATGACTGCCAACTTGTGGAAAATTGAGATCACTCATAAACATTAGTAAATGAATAACTAAACAACATCGCTTCTAGGGTTATAATAGTTTTACGATTGCACAGATCTGCCAACAAATGGAACAGCAGTCGAAAGCGCCAAACATATTGTTGCGTGCGTACGGGTTCGTTATGAAATGAATGCAAAAGTCCGATGAAAAATGAACGAAAAGTTTATTATTATCACAACAAAATGCTTAAATTTTCTCAAATTATCATGCAGTATTACAATATCTCACAGTAGTTATCTTTTAACTACTCAAATCTCCAATAGAACGTAATTCAAAACAGCTAAAGAAAGCTAATCCGCGAATTCGCTACAATGAACAAGAGCAGTTTTCTAAACAACAAACTAAGCAACAACAACAAACTGAGAGGTTTTCCTCCTTTTATAAGATTTTTAAATCGAGTGCGAGAATTTTCTGGTACTTTCTCGAAATCAAAAAGACATATTTATTTATTTAATATTAAATGCACGTGCTCTTGTATTTTCAATTTTTTGGCTTAGCTTTCTTCTTTTAATATTCGTCACACGCTGCACTGCGCGGGAAATAAAACCATTTAATTTATAATTGAACTAACATTAGCTTTTTAAATACCAAATTCGTAACACTGCCCCCTTCCCAAGGACTGCACGTCCCGGGCAGTAAAATCCCTGGACAGGAAGCTAAACTTTCAACTGTGGCATAAATGCGTTAATAAGCATTACATTACAATAATAAACAGCATGAACAATAAATGCAATAAATAAAACAAATCAAATGCTATCAAATACAAATCAAATACTAAATGCAAATCAAATCAAATACACATTTAAAAACATAAAGGACCATGGTCTGATACTATTTACAATTATTTACATTACGTACTATGGCCATTGTAGTGAGCTAACATGTCGTAATGAACGACTTTAGGTTTAGAGTTCGAAGACTTACGGATCATGACGTCATTCAGTCTCCAGGACTGTATATGGACCATCCGAAGGTGACTGTAATTTCGGACAAAGTCCTTTCCGTCGAGTCGGATTCCACAACCACACTTTGTCTCCTTCGTGGAATTGATGTTCAGTAGCTCTTGTGTCGTATCAGGTCTTCACTTTCTCCGTCGCCAAGTTCACTCGCTTTCGTGCGAAACGGGGCATCACTTCAAAACGGGCCTGGACATCTTGGATGTGTTCCTCAGGCGATGAAGGCGCATCCGTATGGCGATCAAACAGGCGGTCACAGGGCAGACGAAGTTCTCGACCGGAGAGCATCTGTGATGGTGAATACCCGGTAGTCTGATGTTTCTCTCCGACCATAGTAGGATTTCGGCAGCTTTTTGAATAGGGTCTTTCACATGAGACGTCAGCGTTTCCAGGCAATGATTCCTTTTGAAGATGGATCGTCATGTCTTCAGATGCTGAGAACAGCTTATTGTTTTTGAAGTCTAAGGAAAAATTATATTTCCTTAGAAAGTCCAATCCGAGTATGCATGGATCTGTAATATTAATATCCGCCACATAAGCCGTGTGATGGTAGGCGGCACTTCCAAACATGATGTTCACGTTTAATTTCCCAGCTATGTCGATCTTATCACCAGACGCAGTCTGAAGGGTAGCACAAGATGGCGTCCAAATAATTTTATCTTTAAACTGTTCAGCTACATTTTCCCTAATGATGGTAACATTAGCTCCTGTGTCAGTGATCATATTGCAAGGAATTCCATCGATATTTCCATTGATGGACAGTCCGTTACTGTTGCCACTCACTCTAGAAATCTTGAGTGCTTTAAAACAAGGTTTTACATTATCTGGGAACCTCCGCTCCTTGATGTGGCCATTAATTTGTTTCCTGCGTCCTTGCTGAGAAATGGTCTCAATTTCCGTACCCTGGGGTGTTCTGCAATTCTTTCGTACGTGGCCTTCAGTTCCATAGTTCCAGCACTTTGGTTTCTTGTCAATCCTTTTCTGTCCCATGGCATTTAATTGTCTATTTAACCCGCCTCTCTTACTTTCCGTGCTTTTGGGTGTTCTGCAGTTCCTTCGTATGTGGCCTTCAACACCGCAATTCCATCACTTTAGGGTTGGTTTCTTCTCACCAATATTCCGTCTCAAGGCATTCACTGGTCTTGTCAAATCATCCATTTTATTATCCGTGCCCTGGGGTGTTCTGCAATGCCGTCGTAGGTGACTTTCAGAACCACATCTCCAACACCTTCGAGCCACTTTGTTCTCACTGCTACTCCGTATCAAAGCGTCGACTTGTCTGGATAAATAATCTAAACGAGCCATCAGTTGATCCACTGGCTCGTGGACTCGCACAGCTCTGGCTGGGTAGCGATCTCTACTAGTTGCTTGCTGGGCTGCCTCGAATTTCATGGCGTACACTAAAGCGCTTTTCAAATCTTTAACATCCGCCATTCGTAGAGCCTTCTGTATTTCGGGATCCCGGATGCCATCGATAAAGTACTGCAGGGACAGGATTTCCCTCGTTTCTCTCGGGCACTCCGTAAAGGCGAGGTGGGACAGCCTTTCAACATCTGTGGCGAGTTCCTGGAGTGATTCGGTGGGCTTCTGTTGACAGGATTTTAATTGAAGCCTGCTGTAGTCTTTTAAACATTTCTCGCCAAAGCGAAGCTCCAAGGCGCCGGACAGAGCTTCGAAATCTAACCTTTTGTTTTCGGAAGAGTCTGAAGGATATCCGCTGCGTCGGCTCTTAAAGAAGCGGCGAGATGACAGGCCTTAGCTTGGGAATCCCATCCATTCGCATCCGCCACGATAGAAAATTGTGTCTTATACACCTGCCAAGAGGTCTTCCCATCGATAGCTTCAGAGAGGGATGAGCAAACATTGGTAAAAATTTAAAACCATCCGAATTGCTCCCTGCCGTCGCTGCGAATTTCTTTAAAGTATCGACTTCTTTCGCAAAGGCTGAAACTCTATCATTAACTTTTTGCTCGGCGGCAGAAACTTGCTCTTCTATATATATGCTCTTTTACACAAGAACTCTTTCTTCTATTTCTTCTTTTACGGAAGAAATTTTTTCTATAATTTGCCCAACTTTATTTTCAACCACATCTATTCTGCCTTCCATAGCATCGTATTTGATGTTCCAAACAAATACGTATGGCGTTTGTTTTCGTTTGGTTTCTATTATGCAGGCAATTTCTCTTTTCATTTCGTATTCACTTTCTTCAATCTTTACTTGTACGGCTTTTATTTCGTCTTTAAAAGTTAATTGACCAGCTTGAATGGCGTTCATCTCTTCCCTAACGGATTCTTGGCCCAATTTCATCTCTTCCTTAACGGATTTTTGACCAGCATCCATTTTCTCTTTAATTTCTTCTTTAAAAGATGTTTGGCCAGCTTTCATCTTTTCTTGGAACGCAGCAAAAGCAGTAATAAGCTGTCTCAATTGTTCTTCCATCCCTCTTGTCATTGGCATTCAAATCCCACTTCTGAGACCAAAAATTGTTGCGTGCGTACGGGTTCGTTATGAAATGAATGCACAAGTCCGATGAAAAATGAGCAAAAAATTTATTATTATCACAACAAAAATGCTTAAATTTTCTCAAATTATCATGCAGTATTACAATATCTCACAGTAGTTATCTTTTAACTACTCAAATGTCCAATAGAACGTAATTCAAAACAGCTAAAGAAAGCTAATCCGCGAATTCGCTACAATCAACAAGAGCAGTTTTCTAAACAACAACAAACTGAAATCGAAATCGAGTCAATGGCTAGGCGGCAATTAGTAGCCAACCGCTACTTTAACCGTCTCTGTTGGTAAATTGCCCTAAGGCGTTGGTACTTAAGCTTTTAATTAAGGCGATTTACGCCGCGCCAACTAGGCGAAACTTGTCAAATTTTGTGAGATAACAAACTGAGAGGTTTTCCTCCTTTTATAAGATTTTTAAATCGCGTGCGAGAATTTTCTGGTACTTTCTCGAAATCAAAAAGATATATTTATTTATTTAATGTTAAATGCACGTGCTCTTGTATTTTTAATTTTTCGGCTTAGCTTTCTTCTTTTAATATTCGTCACGCGCTGCACTGCACGGGAAATAAAACCATTTATTTTATAATTGAACTAACATTAGCTTTTTAAATACCAAATTAACCGGTATAGTGGTTAGCGTTGCTGACTACCGTGCCGAAGGGTCCGGGTTCGAATCCCGGAGAAGGCATGGATGTTTGTATATGTTTAATAAAAATTTGTAAAAACGTTTGTGGTTAATTTCAATATTAACCCTCACGAATTGGAGGAAACGGCGTTCGCCAAAGTCCTCATCATCTTTCTTCTTGTCTAAAAGGCAAGATTGATACTGATACTGATACTGAAATACCCAAATTCGTAACAATAAAAATTTTGTCTTCAGAAACAATAAAATAATTTATATATTTCTGCAGTTCAGCTTGAAAAATGCCAGTCTGGAAGCTCTAATCAGAATTAGTACCTAGGTTTGGATCAGATAATTTTTTGCAGCGAAAAAAGGCTTATTTATATGTTCTGGATGTAACACATGAAATAGTGTTGCAGTTATGATCTTTTTTTTAATGTAACTTTGCTTTTGCTGGCTATAGTATAATGTTTTTTAGTTTTATGTTTTTTAGAAACCGTAAGCTTGTCTTTTAGTACTAATTATTAATTGATGAATTTATATAACTGACAGAATATTGTTTTCAATACAATGCAGGTTTACCAGGAATACCAGGAGGGTATGGTCTAGACGGACCGAAAGGCGAACCAGGCGATTCTGGTCCTGGAACGAAAGGTGAAACTGGTTTTCCAGGAGAACCCGGATTACCAGGTAATATTTTTTGGTTTGTTATTTTTTGTTGAATTTTTTTAAAAAAACTCTACGTCCATTAAAACTAAAATTTGCAAAGCCAAAAATTAGTAAATAAAACAAAAAGCTATGAAAATCGCTTCCTCTTTTGAAAAACTTTAAGATAACCTCGAACCAACCAATGGCGAAGTGATTATGGAAGTTGAATGCTGACAATTCGATTCCGAGCTCAAATTTTGCAAGTTAATGAAAATGAATTAATTCATTAATTGAATTTTCTGATAATTTCTTAAAATCATTAACTTAATTTAACATTAATCACTAACATTTGATAACAGCTTATTGATAAATGAACTTAAATGAATATCTGAAATTATCCAGCTTTTTAGTACACTTTATTACGGTATATCAATATGAAATTAGAATCTCACTTTCATTTTACGTATATCCTTCGTTACGTGTATTAGTATGATATGAGAATATCACTTTTGATTTTATGTGCAGCCTGGATATTGATTTTAATTTGAGGGTAATATGTTCCACGTAAAGGGCATGGAAAATTATTATAGCTTTTAATACTTTACTACATTTACTTTTTCGAAGTTGGTAGGGGTTCCACGAGAAAAGAATTCTATTCTAAAGGGCACCCTGAGTTCATAAAGTTTAAAAATTACTAACTTAGATATTTACTGGGCTTACAGGCTCCAGAGGAGATAAAGGAGACAGAGGAGTAGCAGGACTTCCCGGACCTCCAGGATTGAAAGGCGAGCGAGGACAGTCTGGTTTACCTGGAAATAGAGGCCGTCCAGGCTTGCAAGGCTTTCCCGGATCCCCTGGAAGGCAAGGGAAAGATGGACTTGATGGAGTTCCAGGTTTGAATTTTAAGTGAAATATCTAAATTTCTTATTATTATGAGCTTTTATAGTAAAATCAATAGCCTTCCTTCGATATATTATTCTCTCATTGATGTTATGAGCATTCAACTGATCTTAAATGCCTATCAAAAGGAATTCAGTGAATTTTTAATGGATTTTATTTAGAAGTTGCTATAAAATAATTATTGTCCTTAAATTTTAAAGTTCTCTACAGATTTTTGTTTAATCTAGTGAATCAACGAATATTTCTAACATAAAATTTTTTGTTAATTTCCGTGACGTATAAAACAAAATTTCATAACAGCCATTAGAATTTATTTCGAGTGATAAAGGTAATTTGCACAAATTTGAAATATTGCAATTGATTTTTTATAGATTATTAAACATTTATTTTTTACAACACTTAAAGTGTAAAATAGCATTTATTGCTAATTGTTTCTAAGAGGCCCAGATAAAATGTCTTTCTAAGTGATTAACGTATGTTGATGTGAATAATGCACTTTAACAAACCTGAAGATAAAAGAAAGATCTTAAATAACATCTGTTTATTCCAAACACCATTTTATCGAAACGATGATTCGAGGAAATGTTAATAATAATACCTATTTTCAGGTTTTGAAAAATTTACGAACAGATATATAGAAAAGATATGTCATTAATCTTTGTAGGAAAGAAAGGAGAAACTGGACAGCAAGGATATCCGGGCCCAGTAGGATTTCCAGGTGTGCCGGGAAAAAGAGGATTACCTGGACTGAAAGGTATATTTCAGAACATACAAAACTTGATTGAAAATAATGTAATTTCTAAATAAAACTTGATTGAAAATGTTGTAATTTCTCGTACATATCACTGAAAGTCAAAATTAATGGTTTGTAGCACATTCAGGTATTGACTCTTTCTATTTTAATGATCTAAATATCTATACAGACATGCCTTAGCTTTAGGAAATATCTTCCAGTAGTCGGATAATTAGGCATATATATTAATAATTACAAAAATAATTTTTTTTTTTTTAATGTAGTAAGTGAAATCATGACAAGCAATGACAGTTTAAATGTATTTTAAAGCACGTAACGTTTACGCGTGTAACAGCGACGCTAAAAATGTCAGTAAATCAGAATCATAAGTATTTTTAAATCTTTCATGTGATATTTTAAATTAAAATTAATTAAATTTTCTATTAAATTAGAATTTTCATTTTATAAATCTTCTCTTAAAAGTAAAATTAGATTGTTAATGCATAATGACCATGTAAACATAAATTATATTTCGTGTAAACATTAATATTATGTACACTTTCTTATCAGTGATGAAAATGATAAAAAATGTATAGTTTTTCATTTCAGGAATTATAGGAGAAGTAGGTAATCGTGGTTTTCCAGGATTTCCAGGAATGCCTGGGCTTCCAGGAGAAAGAGGAGAAACTGCATCGCCAGGTTTTCCAGGGCAAAAAGGAGAGCCAGCTAAGTTTGGCCAGAAAGGAGAGCCTGGAGATGAGGGAATACCAGGTAGCATTTTAATTTAATTTGACATAATTAATACACCACTAAAATTTTAGATAACTTTATCCGTATAGCTCTAGTGTAGAATAGGGTGCCCCTTCGATTAGCGATAAATTTAGGCGATGAAATCTCATTTCTGGTTACCATGATAGTTTTAAGTTTGTTTTAGCTTCCTGATTTTTTTTCAATGAAAATAGATTCATATGTACATGGACAAAGTTAAGGCAGTGCGCAATGCCTAGTCTGTGCAATTTTTTTTTTTTTTTTTTTTTTTTTGAAAATAAATAGATGGACACAGAGTTTGTGCAATTCTTTGACTTCTTATTTTGGTTTTGTGTAGCGGCCATCTTGAAATATCGCCTTCCTGGCGCCGATCTTGTCGTCAAAAAAGAATCGCTAAGAAACCAAAGGCACCCAATTGTAAGCTTTTACCATCCATTGCCATCATATTTCACTGTTTGTGAATGGCTGAAGCTTTGTAAGGAATTTCTTCTTCCTTACCGCGGGCTTCGTAGTGGAATTGGAAACATGTCCAGAGGGCAGTCGGAAAGTCGAATGTGGAGGCGCAGCTGATTTCTCACAATTCCTGCACATTTTTTAAACGACTGTACAAGTGCGGACTGAACTAACATAATATTCCAACAATAATTCTTCGCCACCTATATTTGGTAAGTGGATCATCTCCTCCCCAGTCGCCTTTTAAAAATAATAGAAAATGTAAGTAACTTTCTCCTTTCCTAGCACATTCGTCTAGGATTATGGAGGTCCGGAGTTTAAAGGCATTGCTGATTTTCCTATTTCTTGCTTCGATATACCTAAAAAACTCCACCGCGCATGCGTACTCCACGCAAATGCAGGAAATACGACAGCTAAGAAGACGATGGATGCTTATTAGCGTTTCCAAACGACATTAAATTTGTATCCGAATAACAAATAATGTTCGTTGCAGTTTTTAAAAAGAAGATACTTTTTCGCCTGCATAGTCAGAAAAAAGAGAACTGTAAATAGAACGATTGTCTAAACAAAAGTCTGGTTACCACAGAACGAAATTTTAAGGTTTTTTTCAGGCTTGTGGTAGCAGACAGGATAAATTCATACTTGTGTAGGGTTTATATTTATTTTAACTAACATTTATTTTAAGCTATCTTTCCTGTCAAGCCTTTACTTTCCCCTAGAATTGCCAATGCTAGAGTATGTAAATTTTAGTAGAGCGCGCAGTATATTTAAATTTCGCAGAAGTAAGTTGAGTTTAAATAGAAGGAAAACGAGATTGTAGGTCTGCTTTTTGAATCGCGAACGTGAAGGTTGCTAGGTAGAAATTTAAGAATCGCCCGTTTCGGCCTGTGTGCCCATCTCGGCAGTTTTTGCTGAATCCTTCAACTGCTTAATCAGTAAGCTCGCTGAATCTCAGCTGTATTTTAGAACGCGGTTAGGTTAGTTAAGATTTCAGAGCCTCCTCGTGGATAGTGATCTAGTTATTTATTCATCTAGTCATTCTTTTTTAGTTTCACATTTCTGTTTCAGTTAAACCGCCGGGTCGGCGTAGTTTGTGAGCGTTAAGTGAACACAGCTGTTATTTTTAAAGTGGAATAAAAAGGGCTTTAAACCCTTCTCACGTGTTTGTGTAAATTTACATTTCGTAGCAGTCACTACCACAGTTGCTGACAAGTTGGGGCCACACCATACTACACTTGAATAAATAACATAACTAAACTTTTAATCACCCAGGGAGAATTATTTAACACTTCAAATGTACAGTTTTTAAATATTTTTGTACATTAAGCATAGCGACAGAATTTTGCCATTTTCAGCCTTAAACTTTTGGCGGGAGCCTTTGTGCTAAGCGTTATATACTAATAGTGAAACTCCTCGGATAAAAGACGGTAGAGGTTTAAATTTTTTAAAAAAGAGAAAGAGACATAATTTTAAAAAGGTAGCTATTACTTTATTACTTATAAACGAATGTAATAAAGTAATAGCTACTTTTTAAAAATTATATATTATTATTTATTATTAAAAAAACAAAAACTATTACAAACAAATAAAAAAAATCTGTATTAGAAAGAAATAAAAAAAAGCTAATAGTTTCATCAGCATCTTTATAGAGTCTAAATATATTTCTTGTAGGTGCTAAAGGATTGCCAGGACTAAGAGGAACTCCAGGATTTCCTGGTAGAAAAGGACCGCCTGGTAAACCTGGTTTAGTGTACCCTGGTCCTCCAGCTCCTAAAGGTGAAAGAGGGTTACCTGGATATCCAGGCCCACAAGGACCACCTGGAGTTAAAGGAATGATGGGAGTACCTGGTGTGCCAGGTAAGCACTGAAATAGATTAGAAGCTCGTAGTACATAATGACATTTATTTCTATTTTAACATCGTAGAGTAAATGAACATTGTATTCTAGGGTAAGTTAACATGCAATATGCATGAGAGGTGACTATTTTTTTAATGTATGATTTTGAGATTTTCACATTTCAAAGAACTACTATATAAATTTTCATTTATATTTTCAGTCTTGAATGCAACTAAATTGCGTCAGTCTGCAACAATGGCATCTCAGTTTATATGTTTAAAGTAAATCTGTGGCTCCATATTTTACCAGAACTACAATTATCTGGATTTTAAATATCCGACATGCGTGTTCTTTATTTAAGCGTAGTAAAATTAAAATTAAGTCTAAAATGTTTAAAAATGAAATTGGGAGAAATAGAGCGAGATCAGAGTGATCATGTTTCTTTCAAATCTAAATTATAAATAATTCAACTCCACTGATTAGAAATAATTACAGCAATACAGTGTAGGTATAGCTGTCCTGATCGGTATAACGGTTAGCGTTGCTAACTGCCAAAGGCGTGGCGAATCCAAGGTCATCTCGTGTTGTTTGGTGGTAGGGGTGGGAGATTCGTGGAACCGTCCCCTGGGAATTCTCTGTTAAAGGTGGGACGGAGATGAGCAAAGTCGTAATGTCACTTATCTATGAAATTACAAAGACCAGTGTTAACGCTAGGCGCTATTTGGCGCTTCTTGCCACGATAAAAATTGTGGACTGAAGTTACTGTCACACAAGTAAGATAAGTCACAACAGCATATATTACGGGAGTGAAAGCTATCGTGATGATTGTCTCTAAAAGTGGACAGTATTTCAGCGTAAATCAGCACGAGTATTAAAAGTCATCGGTAATCATATTCTCTAAAGCTAGCAACTTCACCGCACCGAAGTCGTTTAGAACTATAAAGTGAGTTGTTGAGTGGTTTCAGTGTAAAATGTGAGCGAGTGAAACCCAGTTAAAAGTGTTGATTGATTGAAATAATACGAATTATGTTTCAAACTTTTTTTAAACTGCCAAAATTGTCCCTCACCGGCTCTCGTTGATCATTTTACCCTAACTGCCATAAAACTCCCGCGGGTTTTCTTTCTGAAGATCGTATTATTTTACTTTAAAAGTCCCCGTTTTCCTAGAACTTAAAGGAACTGGTGGGAGTTACCAATGCTTGCTCACACGTGTTTGTGTAACGTATAGTTTGTGTAACGAACCTGTACCTGCAATTCGTAATAAAACAAATAGGTAATTGCTTAGTCACCATTTTCGCCTAAGTACAGATTAAAAAAAAATATTTCAGAAAGCTGATATCTGCTATTCTAGACAATGAAGTAAAAACTAAACTAATCGAACAACTCCAGACCTGTAAAATACATTCACGAGCACGTACATTTTCATGAGAGGAAAATGCTGCTTCATTTTAAGTTTGGTGCTGGATTCATTTCAAGAATTTATCTGGAAAGCAACAAATTTTTCCTAACATTACTTTAAATATTATGTAATAAATTAATCAGAACTATAACATACATTTCACATTCTTTTCCACTTATTAACAGATGAAAATGAGAAAAACAAATTTTGATGATTAGAAGAATTCAGCCTACGTTAGGTGTTAAATTAGAACATGCAGTCATTTCGAGAGACAGATGCAGTTCTTAGTCTTCATTCAAGAGACAATTATTTTACTCAAGAGGAATGGTTCAATGATTCTAATTAACGCCTATTGAGCAAAATAAAGGAAAACAGTTTACATCATTATGCGTTTGTAAACACTCTTAGACAGTGAGAAACTTGAATTAAAAATTATGTTTTTTTTTTTTTTTTTTTTAAATTCTTTCGGTTGTAATTATTTTAAATCTGACCTGGGCTTTTATATAAAATATTCATCCAAAATTAACGCTAAAATTTTTGACTTTTAGCCATTTGTTATTGGCATATATTATCAATCAAAACTTGTTACTAACAATGCAGTGGACTTACATTTTTACAAGTCTCTAATTTTAAAACTACATGCTTCATAAACTATTTGTTGTTTCCATAAAGCTTTTTCAATGACACTTTCATTTTGCTAATATTTAAGTTTACGAACTTTTCTCAATCCGCACGTGCTCGCATAACTAGCATCCACTGTGTTAATAATTAAATTAAAATGATAGACAGAAATTAATTAGAGCATAAGAAATAGTGCAAAAAGAAATATATATTATGCTGCATCGGATAAGAAATATGCAGACGATTCTACCCTATTCGTATAATAAAGAAACTTCCGGGGTTTATGTAAATATTTGAACTTTTGTCATCTTCTTTGAAAGCCTTCCAAGAATAAAAGAAAGATTTTGTGTACCCTGCAAATGCTATTTAAATTATCTTTGATTCTCCGGAAATCAGAAAGTCTAACACCCGTACTCCTTGCTTTAGATACTAGTAAATTGCAATCAAAAAAGAGAATTCTAACAATTTTTAACAAAGCCGAGTTTAACGTACAAAGCTATATTTGTAAGGATATGTTTAATTTATTTATTACTAACCGAGTTTAACGTACAAAGCTATATTTGTAAGGATATGTTTAATTAATTTATTTATTTATTACTAGCCGATTTTCGCAATTTTTCGCTTCAAGCTGAAATGATTTTTAAACAAATCTGAAAGTTTCAGATTTTAACGGTCGTCCAAAAGGATTTGTTAAGGTTTTTTATGCTTTCACTGAAATCGCAGTTTGCTGTTGCATTCATTTCTGATAACTCATTTTTTTTTTTTTTTTTGTGTGTTTTTTTAGACCAAAAAAAAAAAGCATCTTTTTGTAGCATTATTAATAAGCATCCTTTTTTTCGCAACTACGCCATGTACCATTCGACAGCAAAATCACAAAAATTCTGAAAGCAGCATGCACATGTTTCCTCGGTACAGTGAAGTGTTGGGATAATTTTTTTTTTTTTTTTTTTTAATTTTTTGTCTGTTCCCAGTTTATCATATCAAGACTCCGTTTTCTTAGTAAGATTACAATTTTTTTGGCCTTTTTATTATTATAATGTTTTGTGTGTCACCTTTGTTTATTAAATGTCACGTTCTTCGCATTTGCGTCACATAAAATTCATATACACAACAGCAAATACAGCAATCACACAACAGCAGAATCGCAAAATATTCAAAAACAGCACATGTTTAAATTTCCGGTACATAGCATCGACCGTTGGAGATAAAAGTGTTTTATTTCGAACAGTGTTACCACAGCTTGCTTTCAAGTCGTTGTGCCTGTTAATCCAAAATTCATTAAAGTTTTAGAAATTAGGAAATAAACAAAAAATATATATATAATGTCATTCTGTGAAAGTACTGAATATTTTAATGAGATAGATGATGAATTAAATGCCTTTTTGTTATTTAAACCAAGCGATTCAGAATTTAAAAACGAACATTCTTAAGAACTGCATGTATTACTTTCAAATAACTTGATTTGGTAATCCATAAAAGAAAAATTCAATTTGAAAGATAAATATCTTAAATTTTGCCCAATGGCAACAGCGAATGAAAAGTGAAACGGCGCATTTATTCCATGTAAAATCACGTTTCGAGACTAATAACCCTTTTGGGCTAACAAAGGCATTCATTGATCCACCTTCTGTAAAAGTTAAACTAAAAAGCTTTAATTTTTATTGCATTTTAAAGCTTAAAAGTAAGTTTCAGAACAATTTAATAAAGACAATGATGGTGATGTTTAAAGCAAGCAAGCAAAATTTAAATAATAAATAAATAAAAGAATAAAAGGGAGCAGTTATAAATGTAATAATAAATAAATTGTCAAAACCCAATCACTGCGAATTATTTATTAATAAAAGTAATTACTATTTAGAGTTAAAAGTTTAGAATTATGTAGAGAAAACCAATGCACTTCTAGCAGTTACATTACTTTCTAATGTAGAATAATATCAAAACCAGCATTGCATCAGTGATTATTCGTTCGAATAATTAACTAATCATTTGGTACTAATTTAGAAGTCAAACAACAAAAATCAGCGTTATATTTTCAAATTTTCACAGGACTAGTTTCGATGGTTTTACCAAACCATCATCCTCAGCTGCAAAAGCACAAATGACCGAGATAAGATATAGTAATTAGATGAGACAAGATAAGAAAGAGCGGGCAAGCTACTGTGGGTGCTGCTAGTCTAGCTACTGGCACCATCTGTTGATGAAACAGAACTAAAACATAATTTCAAAGGCTGAAGGCAAAGATGGATTGGAATTAGGGTCATTAAGAATGCTGGGCAACAGAAGACTTCTGTAAGAATCCTGTGAAAGTTTGAATATATAACGCTGATATTTGTTGTTTTGACTTCTAAATTAGTGTTGCCCAGCATTGCTGGTCCGAAAATCACCCTTTCAATTTTTCTGCAGATAAAATTAATCAAAAAACTTCTTCCATTGGTGAACTGGATTTTCTAGACACATTTCACATTAAAAAAAATCTTTCTGTTCTAGTTAACGACCCTAATTCCAATCCATCTTTGCCTTCAGCCTTTAAAGAAATTATGATTTAGTTCTAGTTTCATCAACAGATGGCGCCAGTAGCTTGACTCTTGTCCGTTCTGTCTTATCTTATCTCGTTCATTTGCGCTTTTGCAGCTGAGGCTGATAGTTCGGTAAAACCATCGAAACTAGTCCTGTGAAAATTTGAAAATATAACGCTGGACTTTGTTGTTTGACTTCTAAATCAGTACTTGTTTGACATGTAGTTGTATCATAATCATTTGATCTTTAATATTCGCTCATAAAGCAACATTAGAATTCTTTTATCAAATAACGCAACTAAACCGTCATTCAGAAATTTTGCTTCTTCGCGCGCTTGGCTCAGTAAAAGTAGGCCGGCTAGTGCAGTTGCTCTCTAATTTTGATTCTGATCTACTTATAGTGTTACCTTCGGGTATCTGTGGACACCTGTGGCGCATTATGCACAGCAATGTCATCTGCACTGTAAACTAGAAAAGTCTTAAGTCCTTTGTACTATATTTTACAGTTCTTCCTCTAGGCCGCTCTAGATAATGGTGGACGTGGTGCTGTACTGATTAACCATTATGGTAAAGGGACTGTGTCCACGTCCTCCGTCGCTTGTCGCTTGTGGAAATATGTCCTTTTATAGGACATATAGCCTTGATGACAACCTAGCCTTGATGACAACCTCAGCGATTATGCCGATTTGGAAGTGTCTATGAAGTATCAGCCTCTCGACCCTCAAGACGTAATGAACTTCTGAACAAATAACATATAATATAAATCAAAAATGTTATTCATTTTTGTGAATAAAAACTTGAAGGTATGCATTATATACCTGTAACGTAGCGAATACTTGAAACGTAGCAAATAATATGCGAAGTTCTCAGGTATAAAAATGTGTAGTGCTTTTAATAACGGTTAAATCAATCTCTCTATCATCATTTAGTATACAAGTAGTGTAGTTAGTATTAGTTTAGCCACTAACTGTAGTATTTCTATTAAATTTATCATATGATTTTGATCAGTATGATGAAATGATGAAAACAAACTATTCACAAACCAGCGTGGCATGTTTACTATCTTTATGGAAAAATTCTAAAGAACACTAATCAAAATAATGCCACTAAGGAATTAAGAAATGAAAAAAAAAAATTACGAATCATAGCAGTATCAAAAGCGCAAAAAAGTGAATAAATAAATCAATGACAAATCAAAGCAACACCTTTAAAAATATAAAATGATAATATCGCAAATCAAAACAACAACTGGACAAAACAACAGGAACGAAAATGGCAAAATCACAATTCAAAATAATGCTACAAAGGAAAAAAAAATCACAACTCAAAATAACATCTCAAATCAGCAAAAACTTGGTGGGGGAGAACATAAACATCTCAAACAAACAAAGGGTACAGATTAATCAGAAATCAAAGTAACAATATAATTTTAACAAATCAAAACAACGCTAGGAAAAATAAATTCAAAAATAAATCACACTAGGTTCTTCACGACAACTCATTGTGGGACGAAACTCATATGATTTACCTTCAGAAAAAAAGGCCAGTCTTGCACAATGGAAAAGATAAGGGGAAACGGGAAGATGCGCCAAGTGATTCAGAAGTAACTGAAAAAGTAAAAATTAAATAAGTTGAAAGTTAATGACAGCACCACGATGCGGTTTTCACGGAAATGCACACAGCTACATGGGATATTTTTTAATAATGAAATATTTTTTAATGTTAGTATACTTAAATTCTCCCCCCCCTCGATAATTGGGGGTTCATTTGTAGCAGAAGTTCTTACTGTGGCGAGTAAATTTCGAAACGCAGTTAAAATTAAAAACTTTCAGCGTGACGGTCGTCATTCAGGAAAATATCCATCACGCGTGATTCTGAACAGAATCGAAAAAGGTTCAGCTGTAATTCCTATTGCATGACGGTGAATAACTTCTCTTAATATAGAAATTAACTTCGGCCGACATCTGCACACATGTGACTTCAAATAATTCCATAATCAAAAGTCACAGCGTGTAAGGTCTGGATACCTTGGTTGTCATTCTGGCGAGAAGAGCGACTAATGCCACGATTGTCGATTGCTGCAAGTGCTGAGTAGGACCTGTGCATAGGCTCTCCATCCTGCACTAGCCTCTGTTGCAAGGAGAGAATGCTGCTGTCTTTTAAAAGCACTCCATAGTGTTAGGCAGTGATAGAAACAGCCACCCTGAACGGCATAGTGGCTAAAGACTCCCGCTGCCGTACCTATTTGCCCGAGTTCGAATCTCAGAGGAGACGTGAATATTTGTTAGTGTCTGTGCGGCATGGGGGCACTCAAGATACTGGCGAGTCAAAAGCTTTCTCAAGTAGTTTGATGTTTGTAAAAGAAGGATATGAGAACCTCGGAACGTCTGCCAGGGTGCTTTCTATGAAAACTGGGGCAGAACTCCACAGTTCGTACAGAACTATGCGACGAATGGTGAAATTCTGATGTCCTGCCCATTTGACTCCATAAATGTCTCACCAAAAATTATAAAACTTAATATCTAGGCATAATTTGAGTCGTAGAACCGAAATATGGAAAAAAAATTGCTATGTTATTTCAGAAAATATCCGATTTTCTGTCCCCCCAAAAAAAAAAAAAAAAAAAAAAAAAAAAAAAAAAAAAAAAAAAAACCATGTTAGAGCAATGCAATATATAAATCTAACATATATCCTAAGTGGCGCTTTCGAGACATGGAAATTTCGTCAATCGGTTTAGTAGAACGGGAGATATAGAACTATCCCCCCTTGTACATGTTGGATTTTGTAAGGCTGCACCTTAAAGATGATCCTGACTGATAGTCACACAACGCTATAAATATCCCAGGTCTCCGAAACTGCCACAGCCACCTGTCAGCCAAAATTGTAACTATTATGGGAATAAAATATTTGATTATTAAAAAGACAATCTTGTTTTTCTGAGCATTTCTGTGAACTCGCATCATACGAGTATAAAACTCGCATATACAGGGAGAGTTGGCAAATAATGCTTTCTGCCAATTTAATGTTTGCTGGGTGTCTTAAGTCATTCGCATTCTCTTTTTTGAATTGGAATATCAAATTATAGCTTAGCATAATTTCTATAAAACTGGATCTCTATTTAATGTTTAAAACATACTGTTTTCTTTAAAACGTGTAGCATCATCAGGGTAATAAATTTATTGTAGTGCGAATTTCTGCGATTAATTTCGCGATTTTGGCGTTCTGATCGCTTTAGAGCTATTATCTATATTTTTAGAATTATTGTGAATTATTGAATTTTTATTTTTTTCTTTACGTTTCGGTTATTCTGCACACAGATTAACGAAAATATGTTAAATTAAATGCCTTAATAACCTGTCGAATAGAAAATGATGGTAAAGGTATATAAGCAGTAAAATAGCCGACAAATTTTCTTCATCTCATTGTATGGCAACCCCAAACGCTCTACAGGGTGTACCCTAAATGTTGCGACAAACTTCTAGGGGAGGTAAGGCACATCATAAGGGTTAAGAATTACATAGGAACCAATGCCCAGAAACGTCACTTACGCCGCCAAGGGGGTGCTGTACAGGAGATTGCTAGTGGAAAGTGAGGATCACAGATGCTACATACAACTTTGGTGAGGATTGCCTCATCCGAGCAGTTGGCACCCTACGAAGAGCACGGAATGATATACGAACGGAGAGCTTGTGAACACGTGGTTCCAACATGATGGAGCGTCTGCTCACTTTGGACTGGAATGTTCGTAGCTATTTGAACAGATCATTACCGCATCGATGGATTCGGCGTGGTGTACCAGTTCCAAGCTGTGGACCGGCTCCAGGACATTCAAGCTGTCGAAACACCATTTGTAATTCATGTCCAATATTAATCACTCTCTTGTTTTCTTTCCCATCTTCTACCTCTGCTACCACTTACCGCTGATATTTCCGGGTATCGGTTCCTATGCAATATTTAATCCTTATGATGTGCCCTACCTCCCCTAGAAGTTTGTCGCAACATTTATGGTACATCCTGCATATTGTGCGTTCAGAAAAAGGTTAATATTATGGAGATGTACGAAAAGCTTATAAATGTAAATTTCAATTAGAATTGTATAATATAAAAATTTATTTAGTTACATACTTTTTTTTTTTTTTTTTGTATACGTGACCCCACACGAATGTTAATGAAGTGGTAACATAATTTCTCAACTGGGAAATCTTTCGAAAAACTGTTAAAAGTAAAATCCCATCTGAGAAAGTTTCCCTATTTATCCCACTACTGTCTCTTATTTTTTCTCTTTTCCTCTGAGATAAAATTACTGTCCTAAATATCATAATTTTTTAAAAAATGATTTATGCTTCAAACCTTCAATTAAAATTTTAAAATGTGTAGAAAAATTAAATTCAAAAATTAATAATCACTTATGAATACAATGTAGATAGACTGAGCTGTAGAAAATTAAATTGGGTAACTACATCCTTAATTCGAAAACAAACAATTCGCACAAAATCGGACAAATACAAACTGAAACAGAATGTATTTGTTGTAAACTTTGGCAGACTATTTACAAAATAAGTTAGCCATTGGGTTTGTGAAGAAAGAATTCAAAAGATAACTTCCCGAGAAAGTTCTAAAACACTATAATATTGTCATTGATTTATTTTTTAATGCGATATTGTTTGGCTCTTCTGTCTTAAGGTTCTGCAGGTAATTTATTTGTATTAGCAATCCATTCACTTGGAATGGGAGAAGAAAACATGGTTTAAATCCTCGAAATGCTACCTTCTATTTATTACGTCAAAGTTAACTGGAAATTTTTTTCACCTTTTCTCTATTTAATGTTCATTTTATTGTAATTATTGTATTTCATTTTTAATTCTTTTATCTGTAATCATCGTTTTTAAGTAATTATTAAAATATTTATATAAATAAATTAGAAGTGAACAGCAAAAGGTGCTTTTTGAATCTTTATTAATACTAATGTTTTGCTTTATATTTAGGGCTTCCTGGGGATAAAGGTGATTCGGGTTTTCCTGGACGTCCAGGTCCAGCTGGACCACCAGGACTTGCAGGTTTTCCTGGTGCGAAAGGAGAAAAGGGTTCTGTAGGACCATACGGACCGCCGGGCGCTAAGGTAATATATGATGTTTACTTTCTTGTGATGTGAAAAATAATGAAAATGTTTGCAAAAATATCTATAAAACGTATTCAATTATCATTTGATTTATTTTTTACACCGATTGCTTAACAATCATCATATGATGCCCTCGAAACTACGAAAGAACTTTGATGCTGTTGAAAGTTTCCTACAAGAACATTTCCTTACTCAGAATCATTTAAAAAATTAAGTGCTGTGTTTTCAGGCTCATTAAAAACCGAATGTGTAAAATCGCTGAGCAGCGGTACTTCCTAACCCGATGAATAGACTGAACGGTATTTTCGTAGTTTTCCTCTAATATGAAATGAAACAATTTCCTACAGAAAGTCGCCTACCATTGGCTAAATGGATAAAATAGCTGAAAACAAGTTCAATTCTTTCAAGTTTCGGTAAATGAGCTGGCTACGGGGATGTTTTGGTGGTTATCTGCATTTGTAACGTGAATACGAGAAAGTCTTGAAGAACACTTTGCAAAGGCATCCCTTGAACGTAACCCCAGTGGGCTTCGCCATGAATTCCTAATCACTTCCTTGCAGTGTATACTTCTGAGTGGTAGAATAAATTTCCATTTCTGAAAGTTTACAGCATTTCAGCGTTTCGTTAAATAAGGACTATCAGAATGTATTAAGACCTGCAGTGAAGGAACTAAATCGAATGGTCAGCTGGCCAAGTGTCATCTTTGTCATCATGATACTTTTAAAACTGTTAATGATATTCGTCGCAAAATTCCGTAATGTTTACTATTGCACTGATCTTTCATGTAATTTTCTAGTTATCGTGTTTTCATGGTCAGCAATACGAACTTTAATAAATATTTATTAAATTAATAAAATTCCTATTCCTTTTAAATTAATCTTTAAGAATCTTATAAAATTAATAAAATTGCTATTCCTTGTAAATTAATTTTTAAGAAGGTAACCATGATCTTTTAACTCATATTTCAGGGTGACAGAGGCCCGCAAGGATTCATTGGACTGCCTGGTACAAAAGGTGACATTGGCTTCAGGGGATTGCGAGGTATTTCAGGACTTCAGGGGGTCAAAGGATTAAGAGGAGAGCTTGGACCTAAAGGCAAGTAAAATAATATGAAATGTATTAAAAATAAAAATTTAATAAATTATAATATTTTATCTATAACTCATATTTATTTTAGAATTAAAAAACAACATTTCATACACTTCAGGAAAGCATCGCCCGCCATCTTTATTTGCGAAGAAACAGAACTGCACTAATTTTTTTCATACCTTAATATGACTAACACCTCTCTCAGTTAATCTAATTATTCATGTACATTTACTAAAATAATGTAAGCTTTTAAAATTTCCCCCGGAACTTTTATAATTCAAATTAAAAATTTCAGTTTTTGCCAACTAGGGGGACTTAAAATCCGTTAGTGCAGAAATCTTCTCGAGGGTTTGGTACAGGAAAGAGAAATATGAGAACCATCAAATTCTTTTCTTCAGGATGTTCTCCATCTAAGTCTGGAAGGAGTTAGACAACTTCGTATTATCTTTACTAGTGCTTATGATCTTTAAACAATAGTAGGTGCATTTGTTTCTACTTACAGTTGTTTGGGAAACCTATTTATACTAGGTTATTAAAATAACAACAAAGAAGAAGTTACATTTAAAGTGAAATGCTATAATTATTGTATCTGTAAATATGAATGTTGCCGAAAAATCATCGAAATGAGTTTGTGAAATGTAGTATTTGTCAGTTAACGTAAATAACGTGCTAACATATCGCTTGAGAATATGTGAGGAAATTAAATGACATACATTATATAGGCCTGTTAAACTAAAAATGAGACACCTTTTCAGATCTTTTGTTGTATTTTGTTTTATTCCAATGTGATATGTATCATTTGGGTGTACTCCAACTGCGCTAATGAAAATCCCCCCCCGAGTCGAGTTATAGTCCAACTGCGCCAATCAAAATTTCTTCCCCCCCCCTGCTGCCTACAGGGTTACAATTTAACTTTTCGAAGCCAATTGTAGCCAAGAGGAAAATAAAAATAAATAAATAGAATTATATATCACAAGAACAAGTAAAAAATATCTAACAAGCAGGCTAATTACTTGAATAACAGTAATAAACATACATATTAGCATTACAAACATCTTTATTTATTATAATAATATCATAAATTAAATAATTATAAAGCATACCACTTATATTTTTAATAAATTACATCAATAATAGTCAAGATGTCTGAACTAGACTGGAAAATTTAATAGAGTGCAAAAAATTATTCCATATCAAAGTGTGTTAAAGTTTGCTAGAAATATTTTTCGTTAATTAAAGCAATCATGTAAATGTTTGCAGAAATTAATAGTTAAATTTTAAAAAAAGCTTAGCATGAAATCTATTATAACAACATTACTATGCGTTTGGATCACTGACGTATAAAGTGTAAATAAATTAAATTATTATGCTAAGAAGTTTTTCTAAAATTTATCTAGAAGAAAAAAATTAGATAAACAGTACTGCAAATTAATATAATCAATCAGGCCTCTCAATAAATAAAAGCTTATTTTTTTAACCAAAAACTAAAAATTAGGATGCAAAAGTTTGTGTAATATACTTTGAAATATCTGAACATATAATTAATTAGAAATGTATAATTAAATTAATAATAAGCTAATTAACAGTAACATTAAGCTTAATTTCATTCAATCTAAAACAAGCAATCGATGAGGAGCTCAGCATAACTGAAAAAACTCATAAAGCTAAGCGCTACAGTGTGAAAGAAAATTCTGGAATAAACATGCTAAGAAAATTAGATGGAGAAATAATCCTTAATTTATTGATATCCATATAAACTCTATGCTTTTGGAAAAATGTTCCATATAATTTGCACCGAGGTATCAATCACCGAAACTGAGTTAATTTCTTTCCTTATTTTTATTTATTAGAGGGATTTCTAAAAAGATATGCTAAGGTAAAGGTGAAAATTTTTGCAATATTCTTAAAGAATAAATTAAAAAAGTATTTTTACTTCATGAACTGAAATTTGTACGCTACATTTTTATACAGTAAATAAGTACAAAAAAAGAAAGAGCTGGGGGATCACTGGGACTATGAACTCAGGTCGAACTACCAATGTTTAGTGACTTTTCCACAAGAGCTTTGAAATTAGGATGAACAATATATTAAAGAAAATAGAAGATACAGCACACGTAAAAACAAAAGTGGGCTGAATTAGAGATTTACATGTTTGGTGAATGAGTTAAACTTGCCTGTATGCCATTATGAAATATTAGGAATGTAGCATAAAAGCACGAGTGAAGAAGGCAATGGGAATCTAAATCATTGTTATCTAAATGTATATCATTATCAGTATCTGCTATTACTTTCAATACTGCTGAAAAAATTATAAATGAATTATATTGTTGCGTGCGTACGTGTTCGTTACGAAATGAATGCACAAGTCCGATGAAAAATAAACAAAAATTTATTATTATCACAACAAATATGCTTAAATTTCCTAAAATATTCGTGCAGTATTACAATATCTCACAGTAGTTATCTTTTAACTACTCAAACGTTCAAGAGAACGTAATTCAAAACAGCTAAAGAAAGCTAATCCGCGAATTCGCTACAGTCAACAAGAGCAGTTTTCTAAACAACAACAAACTAAGTAACTCCACGAACTGAGAGGTTTTCCTCTTTTTATAAGATTTTAAAATCGCGCGCGAGAATTTTCTAGTACTTTCTCGAAATCAATAAGAGATATTTATTAAATGTTACATGCACGCGCTCTTGTATTTTCAATTTTCCGGCTTAGCTTTCTTTTAATATTCATCACGCGCTGCACTGCGCGGGAAATAAAACCATTTAATTTACAATTCAACTAACATAAGCTATTTAAATACCAAATCCGTAACAATATTATAAATCACATGAACTTGTTGCATTATAAATTACAACAATTATAAATATTATTAGCGTGATTTAGCGACCATCTTTGTTAACAAATAATTTCAAGTAATTAATTTTACAAATAATTCAGCCTGAAACTAGGTTGGAAAATAAGCTACATGCTGAAGATTAAGCTTTGCCAAGGTGTTAGAAACATCTTCTGTTAACTTAGAGTTGTGATGTAAGAATTTGTAAAAATTATCATTTAAATATAAATTGACATAAATACAATACCAAAGTATATAAATTCTACATACGTGAAAACCTTGAGTACAGTGCAACAATGTGTGAAAAAGGAAATGGATTCAAAAGGTAACTGAAAATCCCAGGATATGAATATAAGGGAGTTTATTGTTGTTGTTAAACTTATTTATGTATTTACTTTTTTTTTTTAATTATGAAAATTCTGCTGACGCTCATAATGCTATTAATTTATTAATTAAATGTGCATTAGAAATTAAATGTATGCCAAAGTGCATATCAGGATAGAGCAATTGGAAAACAGAATAAATATTTAAACGTTTCTGAGTATTAAAATATGGAATTTATAAGTAACAAAGTTAAATAACTTTAAAATAACTTGAATGATTAAAAATGGAAAGCTTCAATACAGGATATATATTGCAATAATATTAGGTGTGGAATTTAGAACGACTTAAGAAAGTCCCAATTTTTAGATTTAATAAAGATAAATTTTATAAATTAAATTAGAACTGTTTACGTAAAGATGGTAAAATTTGAAGGTTTAAAACCATTCTGCTGTCTAAGAAGATTTGTTAATATTTATCTAGACAAGAAACTTATTTAAGGTGAGCTCCAAATCCGATATTTGATACGTTGATTTGCACAATTTTTACAATATTAATGAACGAAAATAAAGGCTTGCAGTTTCAATAGAATGTCCCATTAATGGCAATAAACGACTTTTTGTAGCACCCAATCTTCAGCTCGTAAATATGTGCATCAGTCAGTGTAGTATAAATAATCAGTAATATATAATCTCACATCGTGATGAGAGAAAACCGAGCTCAAATTTAAGGGATAATTTCTTAATATGAGACACCCAACTCTTAAAAATGAGATAAGATACTATCCGTGTGCGTTTTCCTCCCACTTTCACTCAATGTTGCCAGATCGTGCGATTTTTCGCAAATTTGCGACTTTTGACAAACTTGGGCTACTAAAATTTTAGTGTTTGCGCTTTTGCGAAATTTTTGCGACTTCAAAGATTTTTTTAATATAATAACCGTAAAATACTTTATAAAACACATAATTATGTACCTTAACACTTAACAAATTCATGATTTTAGTGCTCTACAAATTTTGTATTTAAGACAGTCCTCCCCCAGTTCTATTGTGATAACGAATCGAACAATAGGACTTGCAGTTTACGCGCCATATATTGGTTAACCAAACAGAGAAAAGAAATAAAATTCATCCTCCTGATTATAATATTTCTAAGAATTAAGGAATAGAAATGACTTAAAAATCAAAGCAACGGCATTTTTATAAATAAATCCACAAATAAATTTAGCAGTGAACGAACAAACAAGGCTTTCTTAAGTAATCAGAATCTGAAAGAAGTCCACCACCCAGAACGAAAAACTCACTTAAAGCATTCCTCACTTAAAATGTTCACAATTAAAAATAAATAAATAAATAAATAAAATAATAATAAACAAAACACTACATTAAAAAAATTAATTTCTAAAACAAAAAATTTAGTACAATAGCGCTAACAATCTAAATGTGAGGAACATCTTACAAATTAATTTTAAAACAGAAATCTAAATTAAATGAGAATTAATTACAAAAGGAATGGATATTTAAACAATGAGCAATATAGTTTTAAAATTTTGTTAAAGCTAAGATACATAATTACAACGGGGCCCACCAGCGGCCGAGCGGTAAAGTCGCTGAACACTGGTAGTTCGGTCCGAGGTTCGAATCCCACGAACGGGCTGGCTGCATGGGCGTTTTCGTGGTTTACCCCATGTGTAACGTGTATACGAGTCAGTTTCCCTTAGAAAGTCCTCCAAGAAGGCATCCCTTCCATTAGGCAGCTAGCCCTAGTGTGCTTTGCCATAATTAAATAAACCAAACCAAACATAATTACAACGAATAAGGATCGGATACAATCTGTAACTTAC